GTGTAGTGTGTGTGAACTGGGTAATATTGTAATATTATTATTATTTTTATTATTTTTTTATTATTTTAATTTTTTTTGTCCCCCCCCCCCGCTTGTTAACTGGTCAGGGAGGGGGGCTATCTTAATCCCTGGTGGTCCAGTGGCATGGGCTGTGAAGTGGGGGGGGCCGGCAGGAAGCATTTACTTACCTTTCCTGCAGCTCCTGTCAGCTCCCTTCTCCTCCGTTCCGGTCAGCTCCACTGTAAGTCTCGCGGTCTGGTTGCCGCGCGGATCGTTGCCATGGCTCTGACGGCCGCGGCTCTCTAAGTTGCCATAATACAGACAGTGACTCGAGTATAAGTCGAGTGGGGGTTTTAAAGCACAAAAAATGTGCTGAAAAACTAGACTTATACTTGAGTATATATAAAGACGGAATATATATATATACATATTTTTTTTTTTTAGGAGTGCATTTATATATATATGGGTGCAAATCACTTATGTCAAAATATAAATATCAAGGAAGGTGCACTCACAGGACTTTGTAGATAAATCTTGAAGCTTTATTGTGCAATCATACACTAGAAAATGTGTCAATGTTTGAGTCCTCTTTGGGACTTTTCTCAAAACCTTTATTTGAGATTACACCCAATGCATAAATGGCAGCCTTCACTCCTTCCTTAAAGGACCACTATAGTGCCAGGAAAACATACTCAATGCTTTCCTATGGACGCTGGCGTGCTCTCACTGTGAAAATCACAGTGAGAAGCACGCAAGCGCCTCTAGTGGCTGTCAATGAGACAGCCACTAGAGGGAATGGTGGAAGGCTTAACCCATTGATAAACATAGCAGTTTCTCTGAAACTGCTATGTTTATAAAAAAATGGGTTAACCCTAGCTGGACCAGGCACCCAGACCACTTCATTAAGCTGAAGTGGTCTGGGTGCCTAGAGTGGTCCTTTAAATTGTCAAAGGTCCAGAAGATTTCAACAATCACAAGTGTGTCTGGTTTACACTTACATTGACCAATATTTTCACTAAATTGTGAACTAACCAGAACTCACAATTTAGTGAAAAGATCCCACAGACAATGTAGTCTCTGTTTTAATTGTATTTGTCTTTTGGAGGTAGATGCATGGCACAGCTCTCTATGATGTTTAGTGGACAAGGGAATATACTTTCGGACAGAACAACTCATAAGAAGCACACTTCCCATTCAACAGCAGTTTCTCAACACCAAGAGATTTTCCGGCCAGACTGTATGAATTAAGTGCCTTGAAATGATTACATAAAGCATACTTTGTGACACTTTACAATAGACAGCCAAGAACTCCTCATTATGGCACTTCTTGTATGCTGTGAAGTGAAGATCTACTAATTTAATGGATATCAGCAAATGCTAACACAAGGGACTCCTGCTTTAGGAGCAGCATTTAACTGTTTCTAAATGCCCTTGATTACGTATGTAATAAGACGCGCCAGGGTGTGTGGTTATGGCATAATAATTACACGACTCAGGAGTGTTTTCAGAAAACATCATGCAATTATCTTCTTACAATTATGCATTTCTGAGGTATCCTATTGCACTTACAGCAGACTAAGGAAGTATATCTACTTACACTAGAGCTTTGCTGCCTGCATTTTCAAGACAGGGCAGAAATAAATTGCATGGAGGGGATACTTGGCTTACTATACAGTGAATTATGATTAATTGACAAACAAATTGCAAATTTAAGGCCAAACTTTCCCAGTTGGAAAATTTTCCAAGTGAGCCACTTGACCTATATTTAACATTGTCTGTGCATTTTCTTTTATCAATTTATAGTGTTCCAAAGCTGAAATGCAGTCGGTTTTAACTCCTTAAGGACAAGCGACATTTCAAGCTGTCATTACAGCTTTATAGATTCCATTCCAAAATGGAATGTTCCACTCATATAATGACAACAGGTCTATATAATATCAATTATTGAAAATAAGCATGATATTCCTTGCAACCATTAAGTTTTTGGTGACCAGTTTGCGATGTCGGCAAATAACCTAATTTGGTCCATAAGATGTTAAGCACTTTGTCAAGGGATATATTCATTAAACAGTGGGATATATTCATTAAAATGTGAGCTATCTTGATTTGTCAACTGACCTGCAATATTTAGGCCAAATCTTGGAATTCAGCAATTTTTTATTTTTTTTGCAAAGTTTAATATTTTGTATTCACCACAACCCCCTGTTCGGTGAATAATCTCTAAATTTTCGGCTTGAAAAATAATATTATTATTATTTTATTATTGTATTATTTATATAGTGCCAGCAAATTCTGTAGCCAGGGACATATTAGCCACGAGGCAAACAAGGCATTTCAGGGGGCGGTAAAAAACACCGCCGCCAAATGCCCAGGGCAAATACCTAGTTAGCCTCACGGCTAACTGACATGACGTCATATTCCGGCTCACAGCCTCACTCTGCGGCGTGCGAGGGAGCTGAGCAGTCAGCTCAGAGGAAGAGCTCCCTCGCCAGCCGCCCGCCCGCACAGCAGCCAGCGCCGCCCAGCCCGACCGGCAGCCAGGGAGAAAGAGAGACCTGCACCCAAAGCTGCAAGGGAGGGGGTTGAATAAAGTTAACGTATACTGTGTGTGTGTGTCTGACTGTGTGTGTATGTTTGTAAGTCTGGATCGTGTGTGTGTTTGTGGTCTGACTGTGTGTGTGTGTGTGTGTGTGTGTGTGCTGTGGTCCCACCGTGTGTGTGTTTGTGTCTGACTGTGTGTGTGTTTGTGTCTGACTGTGTGTGTGTGTGTGTGTGTGTGTTTGTGTCTGACTGTGTGTGTGTGTGTGTGTGCGGGACTGTGTGTGTGTGTGTGTTTGTGTCTGACTGTGTGTGTGTGTGTGTGTTTAGCCCGACTGTGTGTGGTTGCGTCCCTGACTGTGTGTGTGTCAGTCTGACTGCGAAGCGTAAAGCCAGGTCTGACTGTGTGTTTTTGTCTGACTGTGGCTGGTGTCTTGACTGTGTGTGTGTGTGTTTGTTTGACTGTGTGTGTGTTTGTGTCTGACTGTGTTTGTGTCTGTGTATGTGTGTGTGTTTGTGTCTGACTGTGTGTGTGTTTGTGTCTGACTGTGTGTTTGTGTCTGACTGTGTGTGTGTGTGTTTGTGTGTGACTGTGTGTGACTGTGTCTGACTGTGTGTGTGTGTTTGTGTCTGACTGTGTGCGTTTGTGTGTTTGTGACTGTGTGTTTGTGTCTGACTGTGTGTGTTTGTGTCTGACTGTGTTTGTGTCTGTGTATGTGTCTGACTGTGTGTGTCTGTGTATGTGTCTGTGTGTGTTTGTGTCTGACTGTGTGTGTTTGTGTCAGACTGTGTGTGTGTGTGTGTTTGTTTCTGACTGTGTGTGTGTGTATTTAGAAGGTGGGACAGGGGCGAAGGGTTGGGTGGGGGTGGCGCGGGGGGAGGGGGGCGTCTGAGTTTTGTCCTGCCTAGGGCAGCACAAAACCAGGATACACCACTGTCTGTAGCGCTGTACAATGGGTTAAAAACAAAATAAAAACATGATCATATCTGTAGATCTATAGAAGAAATAAATATTCAGTCACTACTTGGCTCACATGTTTCCCTTATTCCACTTCTAAAGAAATATTCTGTAACATTTCAGAAAGATTTTAAAGTAAAAAAAGTAAGTCTTGCAGCTGGTTTTCATGATTCTCCCAGAAGACACTGCTCAATAATATGCAAATAACAAAAATAGGTGTGACTTAAACATTTCAAACCCATTTATAAAGGTTTCCATACCAATAAAATGCTTTTTAAAAATGCTTACATAGAAACATAGAACATAGAATGTGACGGCAGATAAGAACCATTCGGCCCATCTAGTCTGCCCAATTTTCTAAAAACTTTCATTAGTCCCTAGCCTTATCTTATAGTTAGGATAGCCTTATGCCTATCCCACGCATGCTTAAACTCCTTTACTGTGTTAACCTCTACCACTTCAGCTGGAAGGCTATTCCATGCATCCACTACCCTCCCAGTAAAGTAATACTTCCTGATATTATTTTTAAACCTTTGTCCCTCTAATCTAAGACTATGTCCTCTTGTTGTGGTAGTTCTTCTTCTTTTAAATATAGTCTCCTCCTTTACTGTGTTGATTCCCTTTATATATTTAAATGTTTCTATCATATCCCCCCTGTCTCGTCTTTCCTCCAAGCTATACATGTTAAGATCCTTTTAACCTTTCCTGGTAAGTTTTATCCCGCAATCCATGAACCAGTTTAGTAGCCTCTGAACCTCTAAGGTATCAATATCCTCTGAAGATACGGCCCTTCGTGTAATAATATCTTGCTGAGGTCTCGCACCAGTGGTTCTGTATATAGTCAGCGACACTTCCTCTTTCTGCACTGTTACCTCTCCCCTATACAACTAAGCATTCTTAAGTAGCATTTCCGTTGCTCTTATTACATTGTCTACCTACCTTTAAGTCATCATCAATGTGAAATAATCACCCCCAAACTCTTCCCCATATGTTGAGGTTAGAACTCTATCAAATATTCTGTACTTCCGCCCTTGTTTTACCGCCCAAGATGCATTATCTTGCACTTATCCACATTAAATGTCAGTTGCCACAATTTGACCATTTTTCTAGTTTACCTAAATCATTTGCCATTTGGCTTATCCCTCCTGGAACATCAACCCTGTTACATATCTTAGTATCATCAGCAAAAAGACATACCTTACCATCAAGACCTTCTGCAATATCACTAATAAAAATATTAAAGAGAATGGGTCCAAGCACAGATCCCTGAGGTAAATCTTAATTGGTGACAAAGTCCGCTTGAATATATTCCATTAACTACAACCCTCTGTTGCCTGTCACTCAGCCACTGCCTTACCCATTCAACAATATTTGAATCCAAACTTAAAGATTGCAGTTTATTGATAAGCCTTCTACGTGCAACAGTGTCAAAAGCCTTACTGAAATCTAGGTAAGCAATGTCTACTGCACCACCCTGATCTATAATTTTAGTTACCCAATCAAAAATCAATAAGATTAGTTTGGCATGATCTCCCTGAAGTAAACCCATGTTGTCTCTGATCTTGAAATCCATGTGTTTTTAGATGTTCATCAATCCTATCCTTTAACATGGTTTCCATCACTTTCCCCACTACTAAAGTAAGGCTTACTGGCCTATAGTTGCCCGACTCCTCCCTATTACCTTTCTTGTAAATTGGCACAACATTCGCTAACTTCCAATCTTCTGGGACTACTCCTGTTAACAATGATTGGTTAAATAAATCTGTTAATGGTTTTGCTAGTACACCACTAAGCTCTTTTAATAGCTTTGAGTGTATTCCATCAGGTCCCATTGACTTATTTGTCTTTACTTTTGACAGTTGAAATAGAACCTCTTCCTCTGTAAACTCACGTGTAATAAATGACTTATTTATCCTTTTTCTCAACTGAGGTCCCTTTCCTTCATTTTCATCTGTAAATACAGAACAAAAATAGTCATTGAGGCAGTCAGCTAGACCTTTATCCTCTTCTACATACCTTCCTTCTTTTGTTTTTAATCTAACTAATCCTTGTTTTATTTTTCTTTTCTCATTTATGTATCTAAAAAATGTTTTATCCCCCTTTTTTACTGACTGTGCTATTTTCTTCGTGCGTGATTTTGAAGCTCTTATAATCCTGCTTTAGCCTCTTCTGCCCAATCTTTTGTAGTAGATCATTTTGCCCCCTCACTCTGGTTTTTTTATAATTCCCAAATGCTAACTTTGTTTTAACTATTTGTCCCATTGTTAACAACGTGTTTGTGTCTGACTGTCAGGTGTGTGTGTGTGTCTGACTGTGTGTGTGTGTGTCGTGTGTGTGTGTTTGTGTTTGACTGTTTTGTGTCTGACTGTGCGGGGTGTGTTTGTGTTCGTGTGTGTCTGACTGTGCGTGTGTGTGTGTGTTTGTGTCTGACTGTGTGTGTGTTTGTGTCTGACTGTGTGTGTACTTGTGTTCGTGTCTGGTGTGTTTGTGTCTGACTGTGTGCGTGTGTTTTGTGTTCGACCGTGTGCGTTTGTGTCAGGTGTGTGTGTTTGTGTCGGACTGTGTGTGTGTGTTTTTGTCTGACTGTGTGTGTTTTTTTGTCTGACTGTGTGTGTGTGTTTGTGACTGTGTGCGTGTGTGTTTGTGTCTGACTGTGTTTGTGTCTGTGTATGTGTCTTACTGTGTGTGTGTGTGTTTGTGTCTGACTGTGTTTGTGTGTTTGTGTCTGACTGTGTGTGTGTGTTTGTGTCTGTGTGTGTGTTGTGTCTGACTGTGTGTGTGTTTGTGTGTGTTTGTGTCTGACTGTGTGTGTGTGTTTTGTCTGACTGCGGTGTGTGTGTGTGTTTGTGTGTGTTTGGTGTCTGACTGTATGTGTGTTTTTTTGTGCCTGACTTCGTGTGTGTGTGTGTGTGTCTGACTGCAGGTGTGTGTGTGTGTGTGTTTGTGTCTTCGACTGTGTTTGTGTGTCTGACTGTGTGGCGTGTTTGTGTCTGACTGTGTGTTTTTGTCTGACTGTGTGTGTTTGTGTCTGACTGTGTGTGTGTTTGTTTGACTGTGTGTGTGTTTGTGTCTGACTGTGTTTGTGTCTGTGTATGTGTGTGTGTTTGTGTCTGACTGTGTGTGTGTTTGTGTCTGACTGTGTGTTTGTGTCTGACTGTGTGTGTGTGTGTTTGTGTGTGACTGTGTGTGACTGTGTCTGACTGTGTGTGTGTGTTTGTGTCTGACTGTGTGCGTTTGTGTGTTTGTGACTGTGTGTTTGTGTCTGACTGTGTGTGTTTGTGTCTGTGTATGTGTCTGACTGTGTGTGTGTCTGTGTCTGTGTGTGTTTGTGTCTGACTGTGTGTGTTTGTGTCTGACTGTGTGTGTGTGTTTGTTTCTGACTGTGTGTGTGTGTATTTAGAAGGTGGGACAGGGGGGAAGGGTTGGGTGGGGGTGGCGCGGGGGGAGGGGGGCGCCTGAGTTTTGTCCTGCCTAGGGCAGCACAAAACCAGGATACACCACTGTCTGTAGCGCTGTACAATGGGTTAAAAACAAAATAAAAACATGATCATATCTGTAGATCTATAGAAGAAATAAATATTCAGTCACTACTTGGCTCACATGTTTCCCTTATTCCACTTCTAAAGAAATATTCTGTAACATTTCAGAAAGATTTTAAAGTAAAAAAAGTAAGTCTTGCAGCTGGTTTTCATGATTCTCCCAGAAGACAGTGATCAATAATATGCAAATAACAAAAATAGGTGTGACTTAAACATTTCAAACCCATTTATAAAGGTTTCCATACCAATAAAATGCTTTTTAAAAATGCTTGTTAAATAACTAGACATGGTGTATGATCCAAAAGGAACAAATGACTAAACACCCACAGTACAGTTTCTTTCTTTTACGAATCATCAGCATAATAAAAGTCTTGTCCACAAATAGCTTATCTAGCAGCATACAGATAACATAAGTATCGTCTTAATATCATAAACCCCCAAAGTGATCTAAGTACATTTTGAAATCTGCTATTGTGTATCACCTTCATATCCCAAGACAAACTCTAAAAAAAGTTTCCTTGGGGGCGGAGCCTGACTGCCTAACTGAGCAGAAGTAGGGGACACAAGCTCCTGCTTAACGGGCAGGAAAAAGGGCATATTCGGGGGCTAATTAGCACAAGGACCCACCAGGGGCTAATTAGCCCAAGGACCCACCAGGGTGCATCTCCCACATCGGGGGTACACCCGTCGGAGCTAGGAAAGCGAGACACCAAGCACGGCCTACAGAGGCCGGAGCTGGGGAGAGACGGCCGCTTTCTCAGACACCGGACCCCCTAAGCGACTTAGCAGTTCTCCAACTCCCCCCTCCTTTGGACCGGTGGGGGATATCCCGTTCCCACGGGACAGGCGGATCAGGCAAGCTGACCGATCTTTTGGTTACATCACCTACAGAAACGCTGGACCGCCGGGGCACACACAAGATGGATACTCAGCAAAGGCCAAGGATGGCGGGCACAAACACCACACCACCCACGCATTGCATGGAAGGCTTTGATCGGCTCTGCAAGGGCCTCTGGACAATACTTTGTCATTGTGGAGTGTCCTGTAACCGAGCAGCCAGAGTGATCGCCTTATGGATCCGCCCTGTAACCCGCAGACGCCATTACAGATACCCACTCCACGCTTCCAGGGCGACCACAAAGGCACCAAAAACCACTATGGCGAAATATAGCACCAGACTACCGGGGCTCACGCACTCGCTCCCACACACACAGCGGCAGGACCACGGAGCAACCCCTGCAGCCACACTACCTACCTAAACATAGAACCTCGGACCAAAGAAGCACAACTCTACACCCAGAGAGTATGGCTGAACACCGCATGGCTGTACAAAAGGACGCTTCTCACAGAAACACCAAAGATGGAACTAAACCCGGGGGCTCCGCTGAGCAGCAAACTATGCATGGACACAGCAAGTATACACTACTGATGCCTGAAACAGGCATAGGCTGAGGGCCTCCTTACTTGCACTACACAGCCCCCAACCTGGGCCCAAAGATGTGGTTCACATACTCCCCATCCCTGCGACCACATGCTAAATATTTTACGTTTGCATTCTGAACCTTTATTTCACCCGCGCTGGTGATAGTAAGACACCTGCCTTGCCACCCAGTGGAACCTTGTTTCGTGTAGATGGGGACGCAGTAACACACCTTGTTTGTTTTTATAATATATGCCTTAGCCGCTTTGTTCCAGACCCCATCTATCTACACTATACCTAAACGTGTGTCTCATAGTATTTCCCCATAATCTCATATCTAGAATGTATCGTTAGTTTCATTACCGAGCTTCACCTATATGCCATAGATATGTGCCTAGCTTGTACGAAACAGATTTATAACCACAAAAATGTGCATTTTATATTGATGCCAAACGTACTGTTTTAACTCTTGAAGCTCTAGCATGTTCCTAACTGTAATCTCAATCTATGTTTAAATCCAACTGTTTAAACCTGTTTAACACAAAAATCGGGCCTGTTATTCATGTGCCCCGCATGTTACGGGTGGGAAAAGCCAGAGGATTGCTTTTGGGGCACCTCTCACCAGCCTGTATTGTATGCGTGCACTACAAAAATAAAGAATAAAAAAAAAGTCTCCTTCAGACATAGCAGCTCTGGACATATTTTGTTCCCACAATCCTTCCTGAATAAAAGTGAATAAAGATATAAACATACAGTATCTGTATATTTATCTATATCTGCGTTACCTATTTAATATTGCAATTTTACTTTTCACTGCCATGAAAAAAAAGATCCTAAGTCACAAACTAGCTTAGGAACAAGTTATGCCAGAAAGACAGACCAGAGGTGGTTAAGGGCTTAACCCTAATAGTTGAATAAATAAAAATAAATGAAAAAGGGTATGTTACCAAAGTGTACTGATCCTACCTGGTAATAAGCTACTTCCTTGTTATTCTATGGAATGATTATGTATTATATCTCTATAGGAGTCAAAAACGTGGTACAATTATCCTGTGCCATAAGAGTGGTAATGAGGTTTGAAAATGTCACACTGTATTGCACAGTTGTGGTGCACCCTCAGGCTTTAATATTGTGATGTGTACGTTGACCACCAACCATGACTTGGAATTGTCAATTATTATTATTGCCATTTATATAGCGCTAGCAGATTCAGTAGCGCTTTACAATATAGAAATGATTTGCTATGTTTAACCACTTAGGGATAACTGCAGAGTATAAGGCTATATATATATATATATATATATATATATATATATATATATATATATATGTATATATATATATATATATATATATATTTATTTCTTTTTATTATTTTTTTTTAACACTATTTATTATTTTTTTTAGACACTATCAATATATATGTACATACATATACATATATATTGATAGTGTTTCAGTCTCCTGCAAATTATCTCTAGTGCAAATTATGGAATTCCATATATAAATCAAATACAGGTATGCACAGGGTGTAAAACCACTGAGAGCGTACACAACCAGACCTCTCTCCCTTATAACTAGACAGGACAGGATAGTAAAAGACAGAATTAAAATGGATAGTGCATAAGTGCAACTTGTGCAAAGTGTTTTAGCAAAGTAGGAATCTGACGCGTGTATAGTCAGTACACTTTGGTAACTTAACCTTTTTAAAAAAAAAAATTTTTTTGTTAATGTTACTTTTTAAATAAATTGATGAGACAAAAATA